ACAAAATATACCAAGAAAAGTACAAAGGGGCAGTAATACGTTCACGGTCTGAGAAGTACCTATTGGGGGAGCAGCCCACCAAGCGAGCTTTGTCCGATGAAAAGAAATATGCGTTGTCAAAGGAAATCCGTGAAATTGAGGTCAATGGGGCAATAAGCAGGGATAAAGAGGTCATTCAGCAAGGCTTTGTCGACTATTATAATAAGCTCCTTGGCGAACGGTCGCCTCCTAAAGGTTTTCAAAATCTAGATGACTTTCTTGCTCTCATGCCCCAACTAAGCGAGGACGCGAAAACATGGCTAGAAGGAGACATAACCGTAGGAGAGATCGAGCTAGTTATTGATTCGTTAGCGCGACAGAAAACGCCGGGGCCCGATGGCCTGTGCGCGGAATTTTATCAATGTTTCAAAAAATCTGTCAGCCCCTTACTGCTTTCGATATTTCAAGAAGCCTACAAAAAGCATAAATTGCCACGTTCATTTTCTGAGGCCCATACAATTTTTATACCGAAGTCGGACGACGAAGTCAAAAAACGCAGTGTAACAGGATATAGGCCTATTTCGTTGTGCAACTCGGACTATAAAATATTTACAAAAGTCCTCACGCGCCGCCTTCAGAAAGTCATCGTTGACCTTATTGGAGATCACCAAACTTGTGGCATACAAGGGAGGTCTATACAAAACAAACATACACGTAGCAAGGAGTATTTTAGAAACAGTGGGGGTAGCCGTGTGGCCATGATTCAGTTGGATTTTGAAAAAGCTTTCGATAGGGTTCGGCACGACGTGCTGAAGCGGATTTTATCACACGTAAATGTCGGGGACGTAATTTTGGAAGGCGTGGCCATGGCTTATGATAACTGTGGTACAAGACTGGTAATAAACAATTCTTTACCAAGACGCATAGAAGTCAAGACATCGGTGCGACGGGGCTGTCCTTTGTCGCCTCTACTTTTCTCACTATACTTGGAACCTTTTTGCCTGAAAATTGCAGCCTGCAAAAGTATTCGAGGCTTCACCTTAAACACGGTGGAAGTTAAAGTATCAGCATATGCGGACGATGTTGCCGTTTTTTGCAGTGATAAAGAAAGCATAGAGGAAACTGTGAAGATCACAAATGAGTATTGTAATGCCACAGGAGCCGCGGTCAACTGGGGGAAGTGTTGCGGGTTCTGGCACGGCAACTGGACCTCAAAGCCGTTGTCTTTTGCAAGAATTGACTGGACAAGCACTCCAACCACCTATCTCGGAGTGCCGTTACAACACTTCAAGGACAGCACACCCTATTGGACCGAAGTTTTGGAGAATTTAAAATCAAAGACCGCCACATGGGTTACTCCAGATATATCTATTTTCACCCGTGCCACGGTATGCAACATCTTCCTCATAGCGAAGCTATGGTACGTTTTACAGGTTCTGGCATGTAAACGCATAAGCATCCAAAAGTTTCAGAGTTTTTGCCACTTTTATATGGAAATCCAGCTGGGAGAGGATGCGAAGAGACAACCTCTTTCGCCGCGTCAAGACCGGGGGACTGGGACTCACGCACTTGTACGTTAGACAACTAGTTTCACGTTTCTGTTTTCTGCGTGATCAAAACCACCCGTTTCTGCGCACTGTTATCCAGATGAAACTAGCTAATTCCCTGCCCGCCATGTTAGTTACCAGTGATTGTGGTAAACCTCTGAGTCTGGTCGGATTTTTGAAAGAAGTGAAGGATGCTGCTTTATTTTTACAATCGCGATTTTCTCTGGAATAACTTAATAGCGTCAAGAAAAAGAAGTTGTCAAGGGATTTAGTTGAAATTCTTTTTCCCGCGCCCCTGTATCGCTCAGTTTATAGCCATTGTCCGGGACAAGATGTGTTGTGTCGCGTCAAAAAGATGGCTGTCCCGCCCGTTGTCAAATCTTTTTTCTTTAAACTTCATAGCGGTACTTTGCCTGTCAAACCATGGTTGGAGGAAAAGGGTCATTTTGTTCCTTGGTCGATTGATTGTCTCCTGTGCAAGACACCAGAAACAATAGAGCACATTTTCATTTATTGTTGGGACGCGGTCTTCTTTTGGGACATACTACAGAAAACGTTGAAAAAGGACTTGGTTATAACGCACGAAACAATTTGTTTCCTGCCAGTCGATAAAGGGTCCCCTATGATATGTTTATAGTCCTGGGTCTGTTTAGTCTATAGAAAACCCGGATGGAACTGCGTCATGCAGACCTGCACGTTAAACAGGCACGTTTTCATTTTATTGATGTGGTAACTCAGGTCCAGTCTGTGTACTGCAGGCCTCCTGACACAGCGCCTGACTGGGCACACTTGTTTGAATTGTGTAAAAATATGAAGGACTTTTAGTTAGCCCATGAGTTTTTGGGCGGTTTGTATGAATATTGACATGACATTTGTATGCTGCACATTGTGTCCAATAAAAAAAAACAACGAAACTCGTTGTCAGAAGGCACTACTCGTCACATGCTCGGTGGTTCGGAAGTTCAAAGCTATGTCTTTTCGACCTAAATAACTGTGCCATTGGTAAAAAATAATAAATAAATAAACATAACAATAAATGCAAAAATAAGAAGCTGGAGAAAAAAAAAAACTATCAAGAACCCGCCGGAAGTGTTGTATTCTTGCATATTCAGAGGCCCAGAACTACGAAACAAGTTTCTCCTACCAAAACGTGTACATGCTAAAAGAAACACGTCCCAGAATTTTATGACGTGCTGAACTTTTAACAATTTTAGAAATCTTCCCACATGAGTTAATTTATTCCTCAACATGAAAAAACAATAACTGCATTATTTTTTATTCTGCAGATGGTAATGATATGTGCTGTCTGTGGTGTTAATTTAAATGCGATACCTCAAACAATTTAGACCAAAAAAAAAATTACCAAGTGTAGGGCATAATTGCCCGTAGATACATGTTTGGATATTTCTTCGAAACTCGTCTAGAACAACAATAATCATATCTTAAGACGACACTTACCTTGGCTGTACATAGATCATTCTTAAAAAAGTTTAACATCTCTACCATAAATAGCTTCGACTATAGCGTGCTTGAAATATGGCACAAACGACAATTGTCAAAAACCCATCGTCCTTCCTCGCTCCTTCGGGAATCTATTTCTTTAAAACCAAGCATGCCAGATGATTGAAATAAACGGCATTGTCTTTCACAAGGAATGCGGCACCGCATGTAAAACTGCGAAAAAAAATTACGAATGTAATTTTTTTTCCGCAGACCTCACTGCTTGAATTTAAATGAAACCGCCCGCCGGTCTTTCGAAGTTCGACGAACTTCGAACTTTTACCCTAAAAGTTCGAAGTTTATAGAACTTTTGACTTTTTAGGAATCGAAAGTTCGAGAATTTTCGATATTCTTTAGATTAATATGCTCGAAAGTTCGAAAATTATCGAAATTCTTAGCGTACGAAGTACAAAAGTTTGAACTTTTTAGTGCAAGATGTTCGAAAATCATCGAATTTTTTAGTCTATCAAGTTCAAAAGTTCGACAAGCATCGATTTTGCAGCGTAATAAGTTCGAAATTTCGAAAAGCGTCGGCCTTCTTAGTTTAATAAGTTCGAAAATTCGACTTCTGTCGAATTTTTCGATATGGAAAGTTAAAAAATTTGAAATCTTTCGAACCGCTTGAATCGATCATCGAACCTTTGGTTCGAAAAAAGTTTGCGGCATCCCTAGTGAAGAGAGAGGAAATGGTGGGGGGAGGACAGAAAATATAGAAGGGAGAATGAAATGAGCCGAGCATTTGACGAAAAGTATTTGGTTTGACAACAGAAGAAGTATTAACGCTTTTTTTCCGGGTGTCAACGTCCAAAATAAAAAAAAATAAAAAGGTCTCGCTTTCAACGGACATTGCACTGAGAGCCGGTATCGTCGTCGCAGGATAGACTGACAATAGCTCCTAATTATAAGCAGACGCGTCTAAAAAATTCCTGGATTTTACGACTTCTAAAGAGGCCATGCCGGTTTGCGAGCATGCAGTGGCGTACTTCGCAGTGACAGATCATTTATTTCAGTTTATTTATTTCTGGCACCATAATGATACCAGACATGTCCAGTACTCCGATGCCGATAGCAAGGGAAGTGGGCAGACTGAATTGCGGAAAGGTTCCAACCCGTCAGGCAGAAATGCTTCTTTTTTCTCTCGCCCTACAAAGCCTTGTCGGCGACCAAAAAAATAAAATAAAAGAGCTTTAAACGAAGATGGGGGGGGGGGGGGGGGTCAAAATGACCGGCAAAATATATACGGAGCCCAAGCTTATCATGAGATTGGTTAAACATATTTCCGGCGAGAGGTCGCGATTCCTCTTTAACTTGGCCCAGAAATAGGAGTGATTAGACTTTCCATCGTAAACCGGAGACACAGCAAAATAAAAAAACGGACAAAACAGCAAGTCTGAAACACAGCTTCTCCAGAAGCTGTGTTTCAGACTTAGTGGTGTTTTGTCCGCTTTTTATCTTGCCGTGTCTCTGGTTTACGATGGAAATTCTTTACCAGCTCGCCTGTGCTTTTGCCCTTTCTTCGTTGATTGGACTTTGTCCTCTAACTCGCCATCCCGCCAGCTATCACCACTATAATTCGAGCCTTTTTATCAGTTGTCTCTAAGAGGTCTCCCTCGCAGAAAGATAACCAATCTGATAAGGCGATAATTTTTGTATGGGTAACGTATACCCCCCGAAAGTGCCAACCGTCTTCAAGCGAAGTCTGTTCCTGGAATCTAATCGTGCGTGACTGGGAGTCGTGCTCTCACGAGTAACTTAAGTAAAGCTTGGCTCATGTCCGTGTTACCATGCCTTGTTTATTTTATTTCCTCTGGTCTCAGATGTAACCTAGTTCCAGACAGGTTTCAGCCGACTCGGCTGCATGTTATCCACACTTCTAAAAAATGCTGCCAAACACGCAAAAAAAAAAAAAGCTCAGATTCTTGATATTTTCCTTCGACGTGCTAATGTACCCCAAGTTCAGAGAGGCACAAAAACTTCAGCGGGAGCACACATCTTTAATGTTTCGCAGTCACCTCGCTGCCAGTTGTACACACGCCGTGCAATGAAAATATACAAGGCTCCAATAAAATACGACTGAAATTTATCAATAACATACATGCAATAAAAAGCTAACTACCAAACTAGTGATTTAAGAATATGCAAATCTAACGAAGGCCACGCATAAACAAAACAAGGGTCCCTAAAATAAAAATAAAAAATACCGACATTTTAATGGCAAAAGGAAGGCATTGCTTATATACACAGTATGTACACAGCCTACTGAAACATGCACACACAGCACGATAATCAAGAGAGAGTGAAAGACCAACGAAAGCAAGTACTGCAGGAACTCACTTTCTTAGATGCGCCTTAAATGTGGAATGTGTAAAGGTACACCCCCCCCCCCCCCCCTCCGACAATGAGCTGAAACACCTAACCTGAGCGTTTGCTACGCCAACCATTCCTCCAAGTTTCATGATCACCCAAATTATTAGAGTTCAAACATTGAGACCTAAGTATCCCGTTCCCCGGCAAGTTTGAACCAAAGCTTCTCTGAAAACTTCGACAGGAACGCCAAGGAAGCATGGAGGATCGTTTCGGTTCATATGTCCACAGTAGTCTCAAAGCAGGATCTAGACAAGGACTCTAGCAAATAGCACCTCTACTGGAGCAGTAAATCTCAGCTAATTAATACAGACTCCATAGCACAGAGCAGTCAACTAAACACAAAAGTCCACAAGGTGCCTGAGAGCTTTGATTTGATTTACTATAGAAACTAACCAGTGGTTGCTTAGAAAATAGTAAACTACTGTATACACTTTTAAAGGTCCCCATTACAAGCGGCGAGTAACACAGTGTCAAATCTATGGGCTGAATGGGTGCTTACGAAAGCCTACAGGTTTTAGGATTAAGAGCTGCTGTCTAATGTTCACGCGCAGTACTCGGATAGCGCAAGCCTGATTTGCCTTCTCGACATACATGGAGTCATGTGCTCATTAACAGCAGTGTTCTATTGGCCGTGAACACCCTAATTCAGCTCTTGTGACTAAAGAAGCAAGCTCCAAACAATGCTGCCTTTGAGCCAGCACAGCTCCCCATCCTCACCCCCTCAAGAATAAAACAGGTGGTGAAGTGTAAAAAGTATGGAATTCAAAATATGCTACTTGTTTAAGGCCAATAAATGGTTATTTTGACTAAGCTGTTTGATATACACATCAATTCTTCAAACATTATGTTTGCAAAATGTTGCATGGATGTACATATTTTGAGAGACAAGTATGAAGCAGCCCCTTAGCGAGTGTAGTTTTCCGCTTCTTTGCACAATCCAAAGTGGTATGGTGCAATAAACAAATCATATAAAATGCATATAAAGCATGAAATATCGGATTATTTACTGTCAATGTATGGCCAAGTAAAGACACACTGGTCACCAAATTAAGTCCCCATTTTAAATTTTTTATGACATTAAGATAATCTTTATCACAAAGAATGAGTTAAACATGAGTTAACTCGTTATATTCACGCAGCCCAACATCTCGCCAAGGAACTTGAACAAAAATAGACAGATCAATATTGGAGCTAGTAATGTAATATAGAAAAGCTAGTTTCATCAAATCATGCCAAAATGTAAGCAAGAACTGAGAAATAACATGGCTAACTAATGTTGCAAATCCTATTGATTAGCAAATAAACTGATTGGATAACTGGTAGACATTCAGATACACTGAATCGAACTGCCCACTAAGAATATAATAGAGGCTTTTGATTACAAGAAACTGACAAATTCTTGAGAGGAAGAGGATGTCACAAAAACAATGATTGTTGCTGAAAACCAACAGCAATAAAACATTTTCCTTATAGTTTTAGAAGCTGTGATCCAACTATATCGATGTGGCATGATCTTCGATTCTAAATATCAGCAAGGACAAAAGATTTACAATAAGGGTAACCGATAGGGCTGACTAAATCCTATCCAAATGACATGTGCCTTGCTAGGACAGCTTAATCATTTCTGGAATCAATGCACTGTCATTTTAAGCAAACTAGATCAAATGAGAATTGGAATTGAGCCCAGTGGGCCCTAGGTCATTTGTTTTCTCTACAGATAGGAAGAGATCACTGAGATATCACACAAAAACTAGCTTCGAAATTTCTGTGCTCCAGGTGTTTAGTGGACACATTTCATAGATAATTTTGAAACCTCCAGAGAGCAACTAGCCATTAGTGACACCAAATGCTTTCAGAGACTGAAGGACCAATGATGTGGTCAACCACCAATATTTTGTGATGAAAACTTTATCACTTACAGGAACTTTAAAACAAAATACAGTCACAAAGTTAACAGCTATAATCTCAGAAACAAGGTTAAGATCAGGGTATAGCAACAGTGTAGCACCTAGAATCAAGCCAGGTCCTAGATTGCCATCTAGCCACTTATTAAATTCTCCTTATGACTATAAAGTTTAAGAGTCTCAAGACTTACGGTAAGGAATACTTTTTAGACGGTCCATGGAGGGTGCTCTCTACCTTCTGCAAGATGTTTGTGAAATAAAAAGTGATCCCAAAAATGCAGACTGACCCAGACACATTAGAATGGTCAGCAAAAAAGTTTTACACAGCTAAAAAATTGTCTTGCTTTTGTATGTTTATACAGCCTTGATGTTAGTATGCCCCAATGGGTGACCGGTCGCTTAGCTGTATTTGAGAAATTTAGCCAGTGCAGTACAACCGCTAACCTGGGTTTTTTATTGTGCATCACGCAGTAGTGATTACACGAACACGTGCCGGTACGAAACTCGTCCAGATCGAAACGGGCGCGGGCGGTGGGGATAGAACCCAGGAGGTTCCCAGTGCAAGCTTTCGCTTCACGTTCCAAGCTAAGACGCGTTAGCCCACTTGGCCACCGATTCCCTCTTTACACAGCTCAGAGCATGATTTTTGACATCCTGTGTAACAAGATGTTTAAAGTGCATCTCATCCAACACAAATGACTGATAAATTGAATGACAAGCAGGACCATAAAGTGTGTCCTTAAGTTACTGAAAAAGAGGAAACTAGCAGGATGGCTAGAACCTAAAGCAACACTCTCAGAACTAGTGATGTTTAAGGGCCTGCTTGAAACTTTGGTTTGTTTTTGCTGTTAACTCACCAGCTTGTCTCAAAGAACCAAGTATGCAGTGCAGAGTGGGATCTTAAATAAAGCTAAAGATATGGGCAGGGTGGCATGAGGAGCGAGTTGATGGTATGACAAATGAGAGCACTTTTAGCATGAAAGAATAAAGAAAGGCATGACGTGCAACTTACATACCTGAAAATTGATTGTGACTTGAGAATAGCTTGTGTTTAGCACCAAAGTTCTAAAACACGACATGCATTTTTAGCATGCCGAATTCTACTAAAGTAACGGGTTCACAGATATTTCATGGTCTCAAAATTTCTCCCCTACTGTATTCTGATAATAGATTAAGGGTTTATAATTATGATATAGTGCCTACTATATTTCTGTGGACGGCTTATGAAATTTTCAAGAAACAAGGCAAAACATGGATGCTTCTGATATCCTCAATGTTTCTGGTAGTACCAATGGGTGCAGGTGTATTTCTGTTCAGTTAATAAAAAAACAACAAAAAATTAGCACTCATGCAATAGCTTAGAGTACTGGAGGTACTGTATACAGAAGGTTATTTGCAGAAATGCCAAATATAGGGAATCAAACATTTTCTGGAAGAAATGCAAGTATGAATAGTCTAGTTTTTTACTTTTTGTTTCTAAGCTAATAACTTCTTTCTTCACCCTCATGCACACAAGATTGTACAGCTTTTAAAAGGGCTTTTGCAGAACAAGCACTTGTGCTACAAAGGCACATTTGATATCAATGAGCATGAGCTAGCTTGCACTTGTACCTTTGCTCTCCAGTCAGCTTAAAGATGAACGAGGTGTAATGCCCGTTGCACATCAAGACTGTTTTAACTAGTTCACTGAAAACAGGGCCCAGGCATTAATAACCAAGGACCAACTAAATTACCTCTCAAATTGTCTCGGCAGAGGCAATCTTTTCTTGTTTCAATGAAAGGACTGATCAATTTTCGGAAGTAAGCTAAGGTAAACTAAGAAATGTACATAAAATAAATGACATAAATCTGCATTTAACGTTGTTTAAAATGCACATAAAAGTGGGTGGCTTTCTACACACCACTTCACAAAAAGAAAGTGGGTTTTGCACAAGCTTTCACACATACATTCACCCTTAAAATTGGACATTTTTGAGAGATGCTGTTAAACCAAAAGTTGAGATAAATATATAACATACAGACAGGTCTTGGGAATACCACAGGTGCATAATGCACGACTCATCATCAATGTGAGACCTGGCTTTCATGCACATTGCCTAGAGACAGCATAAACTGAGGTGTAATCTAGAATAATGAGCTAGGCAGACTTGAATCCTAGTCAATGAAATCCATACCATGCTGAGTCTGGGGTACACATTCAACTGCTGCAACACTGAGTAATTATGCATTTTATGACATGTCGCCACATTGGACATTGCCAGAAATAGTGTTCAGACCCAAATGTCTTTGCCTGCTTTTATCGCATTGAGCTTGCGATCTGAAAACCCTTTTAATTGCCCTACCAACAAGTGCTGCCTTATTTTAGCACAGCAATAAAGTAATATTTTCTTTGCTATGATTTGCCTGAGCCTTTGCCTAAGCAGCTTCGAGACAGCAACGTATTTGGGAAAGACGTGCTTACGAAACATAACCCCACGTCACCGAAACTACACACAGCCGCCATCACCACTATTCGACACAATGTGTACTCACTTATAACTTTACAAAATATAAACCTCCGGTAAGCTCGACACAAGCAGCACAAATTCTCTTGTCCCTGCAAGGTGTCACAAATGCGTTTCAAACAGAAACCAAACTCCCACAGAAGACATCTCGATCGATCCAGAACCACCTTTGAGCACGTCAGAATGCAGCATCTTGTCTGCCATTTCAGATGGTGGCAGATCTTTCAGTTTGAGATCTTCTCACATGGCACCGCGAAGATTTCGGAGCGATGACTAGAGCCACCTTCACGTTTTTCTTCTTCAAATGTATGTCATAAAAAATAGGTGCAAGAACAAACCAAACATTGGAGGGAAACCCTTTGTTTCCCCTTGCTGCATGCGTGCGTCTGCAGGAACCATACAGGAGTTTAGAATAACCTTTCCAGTGCAAGAATCCTGCTTTGGAGCAACCTATGGTCTTACAAATATCCACTATCGAGTGCCACCACAAGGGTTTGATGGAAAGGAACTTGCTTGACGAAACATAAAAAAACAAGGCTTGTTGCATCTGCTTCATATAAGTCTGAACACGTTCCATGCAACCACATAGGCAAAATGCTAACTGTGGAACACTGCAAACATATTTACAAGCCTGCCTGAACTATCTTTGTAACAAGTCATTTCAGACACCGTGCACAGTAGCAGCAAATAGAGAAAGGTGTCGGCATACTGGGAACAAAAGGGCACTTGGAACATGAATGGCAATACAAGCTGGTCCCTTACTAATGTTTAGTGGTGTTAGGAATAGAAGTCTTGCAAAGGGAATGCAACCATCCACTCCAGCACGCACAGGAATGAGCGGCCAGTTTTCCAGCTTCCTTCCCAAAGTCATCTTGAAACTAACTAAACACGAGCCATTGCAGGTATGCAAAAATCTGAATTTACGCCGCTCTCATAAATACTTTGGAATACGGTGCAGCCCAGCAAGCACTACATAGTGCACCTTGCAACTAAAACGGTGAAAGGGAATGCGTGAAAGCCAAACTGTGTCAATCAAACTCAATCAAGTGGTAGAATGAAAGTACCCACTCTATGCAATTGTTCAATGATGGGAAAAGATCAGCTTCCGAGTTCCATACGAAAAAAACTGCAGCTGCCCAAAATAGCCAACCAACTAATGGCAGAGTTAGAGCCAGAGGTGTTGAATGTCTCAGGAGAGTGGCAAGGCTAGCAGCCACCGAAGCACCTCTTTTCGCCCTATGACGACGCACATATGGGCCACAAACAACTATTAAATCATTCCAGGTTAATTTTTTCCCCCCATTATGATGCAGTTTTTCTTTTTATAGTTGACTGCTTTTGAATATCTCCTGTTGTAGCAAACGCCAAAAACACGCTCTGAATACAGGCACTCTCGCGACCATGCTACTACATCAAACACTGTCTGCCAAAAGGCTAGTGGCAATTTGTAACTAACCTATTCATTGCTACAGCCCACGAGACCATATATTCTAAATGCAGACAGATGCTTTGTTCTCAAAGATGGTCGCAGAAATCCCATAGAGTGAAATGCTCATCTGCATCTGCTACACACCTTCTCACTGGTGACACCCTTCTCTCGATGGAATCATAATTCAATCTCTGTGATTCTCATGCTATTATTTGACGAGAAACATGGGGAACTGTTCGTTGTTCATTTTTACGACTAGCCTCGTTAAAGACTAAAGGCAGGAGGGGCATATTTTTTAAAAGGCAGTTTTCAGATAGAACAGCTTCACCCTTCTCTTGGCAAAGTGGTGAGCATCTGATTAGAACGATAAATTAAAGCTAAACTGTCTGCACTTTTGGCCATGTCATTTGTCAAGTACAGCTCAACTTCTGTTAAATCTTCATAAGTCTCAACTTGCCTTTTCTGTGTCTGTGATTTCGAGGGCTACTAGAGCCATGTTGCTTCAATCGGCGCCATTAAAACAACATAGTGCCACATACAGTCGACCCAAACTCACTCCACAATTGAAAACCTAACTTCGTGCTGCAGAACCACGTTCCAATAAACTATTCACTCGTCCTAAAAAAAAAAAGAATCATGAAAAAAATGAAACTTAATACATAGTTCCCTTTGCCTTTTTCTACTTTGTATCCGTTCAACCAAGGACCCCTATAGTAACCAAAGCGTGCTCACTTTCCTGCCTGCATTAAGAAATGTCCTTCCACTATGATTGCACGCACTCAGCGAGTAAGGGCATGTTTGTCAATGCGTCGATCGAAATCGCGTCCTAGGCACGCTCATCATAGTATGATGGCCTCGAAACTCGAGCGTGCGGGCTTTGTTAGCATGGGTGGCATTGGATCAGCGTGCTCGTCAAATCTACAGCCAATCGTGTTTGCTGCCCACAGACGAGATCTTGCACGAGATCGGATCCTCGTCACCCCCCTCACCCCCTTCTTGATCCCAGCACAGTGTAGCGAAAAGAACTGGGGCTAGCAGCAGCCTGTTGATTCGGGCTTGGCTTCGAGCAGGTCGATGTAGCAGCCGGGCAGGCCGGGCCTGAAGAAGCCCGTTTTGATCCCGTCCCAGCCGTCCTCGAGCTTGAACTCGCCCGACTCCACCTTGGCGTAGATGTCGCGCGCGATGGTCTCGAAGGCCTCCTCCACGTTGAGGCCCGTCTTGGCCGACGTCTCGAGGAACTTGACCCCGTAGAACTCGGCGAAGGCCTGGCCCTCCTCTGTGCTCACCTCCCGGGAGGCCTCCATGTCCGCCTTGCAGCCCACCACCTGCACGGGACGACGAGAGCAAAAATTTGTGGGCCATATTGCCGAACGAAAACAAGCTTGAACTACTCCAAGCGCCGGAACAGACTACTCCAAGCGCCGGAATAGACAAGGTGGACCAGGCACCATAGTTTTGGCAAGGGTTCCCTCCAAGCGTGGAAGATTGCTGTCCGCTCTGAGCATTAGAGATATGACTGGGGTTTAGTTCTTTCTGAAATATGCCGGTAAACTCCGAAGAGTAACCCCCTGGCTGGTTTAAAGACCGAACTGCAGAATCACCTTCTGCCGGCAATGTTGGGAAGTACTTAAAAAAAACAAAAAAAAAACACTGGCCCTAGGAAAACAAAAAAAAATTTTTCTCCCTGTTTAGAACAGGCAAAAAACAAAATAAATGTTTGTCGAAAAAATAGAAATTTCTTTTTTTTTTGCCTAATATTTACGTTACAATACAAATTTTTCGATTTGTGGAAGAAACCGAAACTACCCCTTTGGGATAATGATGATAGCATTTGTACCCAATTGTGTGCGCTCTGAGTTCGCTGGACCTCGAGAGCACACTAAATGGGTACAAACGCTATCAACATCATTCCATGAAAGTACAGTTTTGGTTTCGCCCGCAAATCGAAAAATTTATACTGTAGCGTAAATATGGGCAAAAAATGTTTTTTTCTTTTTTTGCAGCAAATATTTATTTTGAAACATGCCTGTTAACCAAGTATGAAAAGAAAAAGGTTTTTTTCTAGCTTCAATGTTTTTTAGGTATATTGTACTTAAAGTACTACTTTGAGTAGGTTTAGGAAACTTCTACTTTACTTCAAGTACATTCTCTTAGTATGCAATTGTACTTAAAGGGCCCCTGAAAAGAAAACTTTTTTGTTTTTAAACAACCTGGTTGGTACAAGCATATCGAGAAATAAATTTTATGCGAAAAAGCAAAATTTGTTAGAGCAATATTGACGGCGAGAGATCTATTTGAAATTCTGCGTGCAAAGTCCATGACGTCGCGGAATGGCCAATCGCTCGACCAGATGGTCATTTGCGCTTTCCACCTCAGCGTGAAGGCGAAGCCAATCCACCTCTCCTCCACGTGCCCGAAATGCCGAGAGAGAAAACAAGTGGAAAGGAGGTGACTATTGACTAAATCGAGTCTCGCGGCGTCAATATTGCCTTAAAAATGATTTTTTTTCGCGTAAAATCAATTTTTTGACACGCGTGTCCTAACCAGACTGTTTAAAAAAAAAACAGTTTTTTCTTTTCAGGGGCCCCTTAAAGGGATGCTTCAACAAAATTTTAAATATACCCGTCGTGTTCAGAAATAGGCTGAGTATGACCCACAATATCTGTAAATGACAATCGCACAATTCTATTTTGAGCCTGATGGCTGTATTTTTCGTTATAAACGGCCCACTCTGGCGAACGCTCGGAGACCAGCCAGAGAAGAGCACGTCACATCCGGCGCAATCATGACGTAGTCTGTCTCGGGGTGAGCAAAGCCACAGCGAGGCTGACTTTGTCAGGATGCCCTAGCCGTTCCGGCCACGTCGAAGCACGGCAACAATCGGGCCACCGCAACTAATTGCAAAGCCGATTTTGTGTGAATTTCGAGTGACAGGTTAATCTTCTATAACCTTGTAGAGCAGTGGTTCTCAAATGGGGGTCTGTGGACCCTTTGGGGTCTGCGAAGGCATTCTAGGGATCCGCGAAGCCTTGCCTTGTCAGTCAAGTTTGGCAATAGAAGTTGTCTTTTTTCAGTTCGAGAAGAAATGTTTCAGTTTTCGGGCGAGTTTTCTCGTGTGTATGTCAATAAAAGAGGTCGACTTCACACTAGCGCTTAGTTATATCCATTTATTAAATCATTATTACATTTAACCTATACCTTTGCCCTCCTCTCCCCACGAATGGGGTCTTCCATCAGCTCCGCCGATTCACAAGGGGTCCGCGAAACATCGATGGTTGAGAACCACTACTGTAGAGGGAGAATAGCGACCTCTGGGTCACACAAAAGAGAGTCCCATTGAGTGGGGAGTTCCCCCCTCCCCTCTTCTCTTGTGCTGGCCGTAGAGCTGTTGGGATGACGTCAGGTTCAGATCATGTATAGTTCTAGGCAAGACAGACATCGTCACTACCTGTCAAGGTTCCTAGACGGGCATTACAAACGAGGCTTTAGCGACATCCACTAGGTGCTCTTTGCTAATCGTTTAATTCATTTTAAAATTCCTTTTCGTGTCTTTTTTAACGAGATATTGGTGTGTCCGATGTGATACTGATAGACCAAAAGAACAAACGCATTGAAATTTCGTTGTAGTATCCCTTTAAAAAGCCAATGAAAAGAAAAAAAATGTTTTTTTAAACAGTTTGGTTGGGGCACGCGAGTCAAGAAATGAAGTTTACATGACAAAAAAAAAATTATTAGAGCAATATTGACAGCGCGAGACACAATTTAGTTGGTAGTCACCTCCTTTCACTTTTTTCTCTCTCGGCATTTTGGGCGCGCGGAGGAGAGGTGGAGAAGCTGTGGCCATCACGTTGAGCTGGAGAGAGTGTATGACAATCTCAAAGAAATGGAAGGAGTATATGACCATTTTTTGACATCATGGACTCTGCGCGCATAATTCAGACACAACTAAAATAAATCTCGCACCGTCAATATTGCTCTAAAAAAATTTTTCTTTCGCGTAAAATTCATTTCTTACCAGGTGTGTCCCAACCAGACTGTTTAAAAAAAAAGCCTTAGATGCAAGTGAAATAAACGGCAATATTGTGCAAAAAAATTTGATTTGAGATTTTGTTATTTTTGGATTTTTATGGTTGATATATGAAACTAATTAGTGCCGGCTATGATCTTGAAATAAGTCAAATTCACATCTTAAGACCTCCAGGCAACCCAGAACAGCATGAATTTGAGCCATTTGTCTCTGGGTGGTTCTTCAAGTTTTGACGTCACTTTGCCATCACATTTACGTTGACAAGTAGGCCTAGCTGTCTCCTCTCCATTGCAGTCTTCTGTAGCTTCGATTTCTCGTGGAAATTTACTTACAAAATATTATTTTCTGCACCGCGAAAGAGTATTAACCCCGAGAGCGAACACAAACGTTGCTGCGGTCGGCGCGCCCTGATTGGGTGAGGTTTTCCGTGACGTCAGGGGAAGGACTCCGCTTCGCGGTCTCGCATCCGGCTAGTTTCCCTGCCCCGGTTTTCTGGTTTGACCGTTGTGTGTAGCAAGCACTTTTGAGGAGCAGGACCTCGTTTACCGGTGTCAAGACGCGGGGTTAGGCCGATACCGACGTGCTTCCGTACCTTTTATAAACATGCTTGTCACATTTACCTCTATAATTGTCACAAATCCCCAAAGCTATTGGGGAGGCAATTCCACCGATGAACCTCCCCGTCGGTCAACACACCGCAAGGCGATCGTGCGAGGGGTCAGTAAGCGGCGGCGAAGTGTTTCAGACGCTGGAATTCTGTTACTTGCATGTTCATGATTTAGGAGAATATTACATCCTGCTTTGCAGGCATTTGAAATGGAATTTATATGAAAGGCCTTTGGGCGATTGGCAAATTAGCTCGCAACCCCGACTCTGCGCGTGCCACTCAGCAAGCGCTGGTTCGCAGATGTTTTAAAGACTCTGGGTCTGAAAGCCTTTGAAGTGCTCGTGGAACAGTGTCGTTTTACCTAAATGTAGCTTTTTTGTGGATGAATTATATAGTTCATACAGGTTCGCAGGCATGCTTTATTTTTTAGAAGATGCACAATTACTGGAAATTAGTTTATATAGTAGCAGGAAAAACCGTCCGAATCGCCCTCAGTTGCCTGTATGAGATGTATTGAACTGCCCAAAACATGCGCAGCATACCGTAATTTGGAATGTTTATGCTTTTTCCTGACATGCTTTCTTTATTCCAGCTTTGGGTTTTCGGAAAATACACCTATTATTTTGAATTGTTATTTCCAATTAAAAGAGGTACTGCTGCAAGTCCCCAAAAGCTTTCTCAGCCTCCAAACTCCCTACAGCTAGACTCCTTGACAGCAGAGGAAAACAGGAGGAACAGAAAGCATTCGAACGGCTGTCCAGTGGTAGATGCCGCACTAGTAGAAAATTTGAAACCTGTCAAAGGTGACAGTTTGCGTGAGAAAAGCAGGACAATTTGATTTAGCTAAAATCTCCATTTTAGAGACTAAGGGACCAATAACAAGCTAGACACCATGGCTTACGTTTGTTGTATATAAATTGAAGGAGGATAGAAACAAGTCCACAGATACCACCAGTTTAATCCACTGAAATACTTTTCGAATCCAGCAAAGGTCAAATGCGAGCAATGCATATAAATAAATGTTCCTTCTTTCTTTACTTCGCCCCTGTACTTAGACTGTCTCACTTGTGACTCTCGCTCAATGGCCCAGACTATATTTCTCATGTTACCCGAGCAGCATGCAGCTTTGGCATTTTTGTTAAAAAGCAGAGATAAGAAAAAACCGTAATAGTATACATAACCTGCCAATTAATCCAGACCATCAGCAGCATTGACTGTGTGAGATATAAATATATAGTGATGCTCCTGCAATTGTGGCCATAGTTCTTTATTCTCATACACCAGCTGCGATTCATGCGTTGCCTGCCCTGCCAACCTTGCCTGAAATGTTGGTTAAAGTTTCGCCTGCAGCTATGGCCCATACCTCAATAAAGCCACATATGAAAATTTATACTTCCTACGATAAACGCACACAAAAAAATTGAATGGAAATGAGCGCGCCGACAGCTAACGTCGTCCCAGCCTCCACAGGGCGAGCGGGCAAGTCAGGGGGAAATTCTGTCCTCGCCGTGACGTCACCCCGGTTCGCCAAAAGGGGGCGCCACACAAACTTCTCGGGGCTATAGCTACACATCTATGGTCACGTTCAAACATGTCCTTTTTAAAATGCTATTTTGGGGTATCTCACAGTTTGTATGCAAGAATATTTGTTCCTTTCACAACAAAATTTGGCATGCATATACTTTAGAATA